GGTTGCCCTCTCTGCCCCAGCAGTAGCTGCTATAGCCCTGAAAGGTTCCTAGCTCCTAGCTAAACTGTGGGCTTCAGAGAAGCTAGGGAGCTGCTGGAACCTTCCTATCATTCTCAAGAGCTACAGCTCAGCACAGAGCTATCCTGCACTTCCCTGGCTAAACAGTGGGCTTTAGGTTGCCCTCCCAGCCTCAACTGCAGCTACCGTAGCTCTGAAAACATTTTCTAGCTCCTAGACGAGTGGTGGGCTTCAGAGAAGCTAGCCGTTTTGCTGGAACGTTCCCACCATTCTCAGAGGTACTGTCTAGCCCTTCGCTGGTTGTGCACTGGGCTCAAGGCTGTCCCAGCCCTAGCTTTAGCTGCTATAGCTCTGAAAAGGCTTCCTAGCTCCTACTCGCTCGGTGGGCTTCAGATAAGCTAGGAGGCTGCTGCAGTGTTCTCAGAGACACAGCTGAGCACCGAGCCATCCAGCTGGTGCCTGGCTAAGGGCACTAGCTAGGTTGCGCTCCCTGCCCCAGCTGTAGCTGCTATAGCTCTGAAAACATTTCATAGCTCCTAGCTGAGCGGTGGTCATCAGAGAAGCTAGGGGGCTGCTGGTGCTTTCCCCGATGTCTCCCAAGCTGCCACTGGTCACAGGCCTACCCAGCTCTTCCATAGCTAAGTTCTGGGGTTTAGGTTGCCCTCCCTGCCCAAGCTGTAGCTACTATAGGGATCAAAACTGTTCGAGCTCTGCAAGGCTCGTATGCTTCCCAGTTCAGCGATTGGCTTTGGAGAAGCTAGGAGGGTGCCATAACCCTCAGCTTTGCCTGGCTGAGCTCTTGGCTTCAGTGAGGTTCAGGTTGCCCCTCAACCTCCCGCTACAGCTGCTAGAGATCTGAAAGGCTTGCATGCATTCCAGCTCAGTATACCAACTTGGATTTGCTAAGGGATCTCCGGAGCGATTCCCTCCATCGCTCCCAAAGCTGCATCTGAGTCTGAAACTCTTCCCTAGCTAGGTACTGAGCCACAAAGAGATACTGCTTGCTGCCCTGCCCCAGGTAGGGCCGCTATGGATCTGAAAGATTTGATGTCTGCTGACTGAGGATGCTGGGTGGGTCTAGTTGACCACCCAGGCACTCCAGAACTAGTAGTACGTTGGGTAAAAGGTTGGATACCACCTCACTGAGCATGGGATGCCAAACATCCCAATCAGCTGGGAAAACTACTGTTAAATACACCCAAGTAAAGCCTTGTATTGATCCTCATATTACAAATTTAGAAATCATGCCAGTTAGAGATGTGGGGAAATCCCTACATGATTATTCACTGTTAAATAAATTAATAGTCTAGCAGTGGTTTGTTATTGTAAGCTTTCCTGAGTTAGCTTGATATAAACTCTGATAATTAAAAAATAATTCCATTTGTCAGTCAAAATTCCAGTTAAGTCTATCACTTATCTGAATCAATCAATCAAATTAAAACTACTACAAAGAGAGGTGGAAGTTTCAATCAAAAGCAGAAATATACTCTACAGAGATAAACTATCTTAAAACCCTGACCGCCTAGGACAAAACAAATCCAGTTAAAACAGAAAAACCCATAAAAGTTACTTAGAAAAACCAAACAAAAACCAACAATAAATTATAATTCCCTGCCACAAATTCATTCACTCTTAAAATCTGTGTCTCATTATTTCACAAAAATAAGCAACAGAAGAGAACACTATTAAAATATCCCAATATATTTCCATGTAAATTGTTAATAAATGTTAAATTTGTTCAAAATAGATAAAAATAATAATTGACATATTCTAAATTGTAGTAAAATAATAATAATCAAATAAAATGTTGAAAAAAGAGGAATAAAGTATTTTTATCTTACCATTTAAATGTATGATTTCTACACGTAAAAGATTCACAAACTTCTAGAGTCCAGAACCAATTGCTTACGGAACAGACATTCATCTTTTTTCTTTAAACCAAAAAATGCTAAATCTGGGTTATTTTTTGTGGGGAAAACAGAGATCTTTCAAAGACAGGTGTTATTCTGTTGTTTTCGAAACGTTCAGGGCTATTTTCCACCATGTGAAACCACTGTAGGTGCTAGAAACTCCATGAAATGGAACGCAAGGTCTTAAAATAAATCAAAACAGAGAAACGAATCTTTGGCCACCTGTTGTCTTAATCTGCCCCCCCCCAACGTTCCTGTTTAGTAATCGGCCATTTTCTTTTCACAAAAAAAGAAAAGAATAGATCCAACCCTTCAAAATCTTTTCTTGATTGTGCTAATTATTTTAGATTCTGATGCATATTAATTAGCACTCCCATTAATTTCACAGTGCATGAGAATCAGGAGTAAGATTCAATTTGCTCAAAGGCTTAATCTGAGCCGGGAGCCAAAGAAACATAAATTCAATTGCAGAATTCAGCCTCAGAATTAGTTAAACAAACAAACAAACAAAAGACTAGTAAGTCTCTAAGCATGTCAAAAGCACCTTGCCCTCACCACTGAGGAAAGCTAAGCAGAACCCACAGGTTGGCAACAGTTTAATTTAGAGAGAATAAAGGGAGGCAGATAAATAAATAAATAACAGTGGCATATTAAAGATGCCTTAAGTTTGTTGTGAAGTGAATTTTAGGAGAGAAACTACTTCACCTGATGTACACAAGGACTTTATTGATCTGGCAAAGTAGGATTTTCCCTCTGAAATTCATTCCGCAACACTTATTTACTCTTTAAAGTGTCACAGGACTTTGTCTATAACTGCAACCTAGTATTATGCTTGATTGAAAGATAGATAGACAGAGAGTAATAAGATGGGATGAATCCTGACCGACTGAAGGGTAGACAGAAAAAAATGAACAAATTAAAGAATAAACAAACGGGAGGGAACTACTGAGAAAGAGTGGATAGACAGATTTCTAAATTATGCATTTGTTATAAGAATGCAGTTCTATTTGTCCATTTAAACTTTTGATCCACTAAGGAATAGAATTAGACGCTACCAAGGCACAAATACCCCCCCCCCATCTTAAATCTATTTGACACATATAATTGCAGCTTTTAAGTTCCTTTAAGGCTTTCAAAATGCACTGGAGATTGACAACCAAGCAACTCAAAGAGAAATCCCATCTGCTCAGTTATGAATGAAATTAGTTCTGAATTAGAAAAAATATTGATTTACCTGAACTAACGGCGACAAAGGTCCCAGGTCCCCAGTAGTCTAATCCGTAGTATACACACTAACACAATTGTCTGGAGATACTGTATTTAACAAACTGTCCCTTCAGCTTAGTTCTTCGGTAATCTCTAACAGATTCTGATTCTAACAAAATTTCTTCTCATATATTCCACAGTATTTTGGCAAGCGCAACCTTTCTAGACTATTGCAATTGTGTAGCGAACATATTAAAAACATTTTCAGAGAAAGCGTAAAATATAATTGTAGGGATGAAGAAAAGACTGAGGCAGACTAATTTTGGTCTTTGGTTTACAAGCTATATGGGAGACAAAGTATTAAATTCTCACTGAAATAGACCTCAGTAAATCCAAGGAAAGTTGCCTTAGGCAATCAGTATTTACAAGGAAGATCATTGCAAAGAAGTACATGAGAGAAATAAATATTTTTACCTGTTGTAACAGTGACGAAGGTGCCTGGTCCCCAGTGATCAAACCAGTTGTCACATTGGAATATGTTTATGGGGAGAGGCTGCAAAAACTTTCATTGATCGACCGACTGTTTTTGAATTACTGAATAATCTTGTTTACTCAATTACTCCGAATAGGTATGCACCTCTATGTACATTTACTTGGTAGTAAGACACATAGAATTCTGTGGCACTTACATCCAAGTAAACATGCATAGGACAAGCCTGTAAGATTTACTTTGCGGTATAAGATTTTTCAGAACATGGGTAGGGGGAAAAAAAGTCTAAGCCTACTTTAAATCTCAATCCTAAACACACATATTGGAAGTAAATTCCACACATTTAAATGAAAGGTATATTTTCTAAGTAAGCGAGTTTGAGATAGCAATTTATATAAGAAAAGAAGAATTGTCTTTCCAGACCGGACCAAGGGTCCATCCGTTCCAGAACTTGACCAGACATTCTTATTTCTCTGGAACAGTCTCATTAAACTGAATTGGACTTCCCTGGAGTCCTGTAAGACTCCCTCAATTCCCAGAACATGCCCCACAATAGGAACACTTGAGTTTCAAAAACATAAAGAACGGGAATGACTAACATTTCAAAGACATCACTTAAAAAATAGGAACAAACTCTGCATTTAAAGAATACAGGTGAGAAAATGAATTAAAATCATACCTGAAGTGACATAGACCATGGTCCCTGGTCCCCAGTAGTCGAAGTAGTCACAGTGCCCCAACTCTTTCTACCCATGCACAAAAACCTAATATGGAATGCTTCTGTCCTTTGCAACCCGCAAAACTATCCCTTAAATGATAGTTTTAACGCACACTCAATATAAATATGGGGGTTTTTAATTGGCTTAAGATGCAGAACATAATTAAATCTGGATTGTTCAAGACAACTGAATACTTTAAGAAAAACAACAAAGAGCTTCTCGGCACTGTAAAGAGAGGAAAGCTTTGTAGTCGCAAAAGCTTTTTTAGACTTTGTGGCTTTTGCCACCGTAAATTTTCATTTCTAAGCCTGCAGAGGACTCTCTGTTGTTTTCGTTATGCGAAACTACTGTAGTTACCCAACCAGCATAAGATGTTTTAAAGAAAAGTTGTGGAATTTAAACACATACATTTCTAAGTTTTAGAAGGCACTTCTCTAAAGCCCCTGTTTTGTTATTAACTTAGTTTGGGTCATGAGCTGGACTGATGCCTAATTAAGATACCTATTTTAGTTTAAAGAGATTATTCCAGCATGACTAGGTTGAGAAAGGCAGTCAATTTGAGGTACCAGGCTGTTTTTATACCCAACAGTCACTTTGGAAAAAATATAGAAAAATCACACACAACTAGACAGAAGGAAAACATTGAATTTAACTTACCACTGCTCACTGTAACCAGGGTGCCTTGTCCCCATATGTCAAAAGCATAGTAGTCACAGTGATACTAATTCCTGCCTTGAGTGACTAAAAACCTACTGGTCTCAAAGCTCAAGATGCCAGAGGTCACATCTCTTATGTTGTCCTCCCATTATATATTATATTTATTTACACAACTATATTTCCCTTCTGTTTTAATTGAAACTGAATTTTCTCTTGCCATAAAGAGACAGAAAACACCTACTACTCCACCTTGCATTTAGGACATTTTTTTAAAAACCCAGTAAAGATCTTATTGTAAAATATAATAGCTACTTAAGTCAAAGGGAAACATGGAATAGAAAATCCTTACCTGGAGATACCATCACCATGGTCCCTGGACCCCAATAATCAAAGGCAGCGTAGTAATCACATTGATTAACCTGCCAGTGTTGTGCGAACAAAAACTAAACAATACTTTCCTGTTGCCAAGACTTTAAATGGAATAGTATTTGACACTCTCTCCAGACATCTGTGTATCTAGATTTATTGGCTCATCTAAATATTTGTCAAGTTTGTACTGAAATACACCACTGAATGCTCAGTGTAATGGGACTATGATTTATTTTTTAAAAATCTTGTATTCCTGGAATTTTTAGTTACAGCTAAATAAATATTGTTAGGTCTGATCCAAAGCTTGATCCAGTATAAGGATCTATGGCTTTGGGGACAACCTTAACTTTTAAAGAATGAACATTGCAATCAAACAGATTGAAATAAGTAAGAATATGTATGATTTACCTGAAGTGACGGTCACTAGGGTCCCTTGGCCCCAGTGAGTGAAGTAGGCATAGTAACACAGTACTTAATTCTCTACTGAGAGGTGTGCAAAATCCTAAATAGAAATTGCTAAAGTATATTCCCCCCTTTACCTGCTGAGACCTTGACGAGGGTTCCTGGGCCCCAGGTGTCAAAATAACTAAAAGTTTCATTGAATATTAGCTATCCACTAAGTGGTCCAAGTTCAGCCTGATCAGCATACTAACAATATATAGGATTTTTACATCAAGCTAAGACAGGGGTCGTGCTTATATTTCATTTCTTCTTGAGTACACTCAAAAAAAGATCAAGATCAAATACTTTTGCTTGCACTGTAGATAGAATTAAGCTGCGGCACTAGAGAAGTGAGACTTTCCACGGGCATGAGACATATTTTCCCTAGAGCTTAGAGAACCCAGAAAACAGCAACAGAAGGACGAACCAACCCTGGTAATGGAAGAATAAAAAAATTCCATGCAGCTTTTCTAAAGACAGAAATAACAAGGGCTTTTTGTTCTTACCTGTAGTGACAGTGACTTGGGTCCCTGTTCCCCAGTATCTCATGTCATCACACTGGTTAGATCTCTTTCTTAAGATGGACAAAAGTTGACCCACCCGGTTTATGCAGGAAATTAGAGGGCTTTCAAGATTAAATGTATTCCCACACTCAGTGGTTTCGGTCCTCAATATACTGATTTGTGAACAAGTCCTAATGACTTTTGGAGAATTTACCCATAGGGAAGAATGTTTAGATGTAAGGTTTAGGCTTCCATCTTTTCCATTAATATATTAATTATGCATGCTTATAATAATTTAATTCATTGGCACTCCTAAAAAATAAATGGAAATTCTCACATTTTGCCCAGGATAGACTGTAATCCAGACTCCAAACTATTCTGCCACAGCCCTGCTGACAAGAATCAGATACTCTAGCTTGCATTGAATAGGTTCTGAACTGCAGCATTTATCTATGGAATCTCACAAAGAATTCTATTCCTTTGGGGGGGGAAAAGCATTTAGCATTGTAGCTCTCGAAAGAAAACAAATGAAACAATTGACTCCTGTTTCTTATGAATCTTAGACAGTAATTGGGGTTGACGGCGACCTATTTCTCCAGAATTTAAGAGAACAGGCAGAAAGTGATCTGCTGAGGCACTGATCTGCCTCAAACATTTGAGAGATAACAAAAATATTACCTGAAGTGACAATCAGCTGCGTTCCAGGTCCCCAGACATCGAAGTACCAGTTGCACACAGATCGTTCTAACTAGCAACTTGGCACAGAAACTTCATTCTGCTTGGACCTTTTAGCAACACTATTTTGGTCTAATGAAGAAATGCCCCACCCACACATTTTGGCTTCAAAACAATTTTCTAGCTCTGTTTTCAACCTTTCCTATGGTTAATTTCAAACTAAGCTACGTAGAAGACTAGCAGTGTTTTTCACAATCACAAAAAATATTAGACAACATAAAAAGTCCTCTGACCTGCCACTTGTTTTTCAGAATTAACTGAGCATTAACTGAGACTTAGGCATTTACAAATGGTCAGATGTTTATGCAGTTCACTGGTGAGAAAAGTATTCAAAGAAATCTCTTAAAGATAGTTAGCCAAACAGATGTCCCAGCAGTGAAACAGACATACATTTTAAGCAATGTTTGAACAAATTTTGGGGTGTGGGTCTTGGTGAAGTTCTGCACAAAGAAACATTGGAAGAAGCCCTTAGTTGTCACTGTCTCAAAACAATTGCATTTCATATGACACAGATATACTGAGATAATGAAAAAAAGGTTACAAAATAAGTGAGTAAGAGTAGGAAAAGCTTTTTACCTGATGTTACGATCACCATGGTTCCTTGGCCCCAATACTCAAACGGATAGCACATTAGGGCTGTTTTGTACTTCCTCTCTACAAAAACCACTTAGGAACTGACATACCTTCGCAACAATCTCTCTTTAATTTTTATATTTTATTTCATTATAGATGGAAGTAATTTGGCCTGAAAATTGTCTGCAGAGCGCTTCCAAAAACCTCAGGAAGACTGCCACCAAGTAAGAAATTTCAGGAATGAATTCACTGAAAGATTTTCCAGCTGGGTGGGAAATTTTAAAGCCTTTCTAGACCATTGCAATGTCTATTGGCCCACCAATATATTGGGCAATGTCCTTAACTCCAGCCTCTCACTTTAATGCAGCATCTATTACTCATAAACTACAATCTCAGTCTATATATGACAGAAGTGGGGAACACTATGAAGGCTTTTCCTAATAATTGGCATAGCATTGATTATTCAAAATGCCTTGGATCTTTCCCCCTCTTTTCTATCTAAAGAAGTCCAAATTTTTAATATTAACCTGGGCCGTATTTGACTGTTTGAGCTTCTCTTATATTACAAAGTAATGAAAGACAGAAAGTTAAGCTGATGATCAACATGAACATCCCTAACCTAGGAAAACAACCTAGATCTTAAGAACTATACGAGTAAATAACATTTCAACCTTTGTTTAGTGACTTAAAAGCATGCAGTTTCAAAGCCAGTGGCAGTCAGCGATAATTGCAATGAAATTCATGCAACTGAAAACTCATACAAAGCCTTCTCAAAAAATAACAAGACATTCTGTGGAACTGATGTGCAGTGGCTTACCTGATGTGACGGTTACCAGGGTGCCTGGTCCCCAGCTGTCAAAAGCACCCCAGTCACACAGTAAATCTCTCCCCTCGGGAATACGTGCAAAAATGCACCCACAGGTGCAAGTGGCTTCTTCTTCTTCAAGACCCTTGTCAGATCTAGCTGTGTCCCGACACATGAGGAACAGGCGGTAATTTTTCTGACAGTTATTTATCAAGTCCGAATATGGGTTCTGTGGCATCTAAGCCATATTTCACCAACACATAACAATAGCAACAATGAAAGCAGCAAATAGGCACTAATTTAGGACCTAGGAAGATGCTACAATACATCCCTTTCTGCTATGCTGTGGCTAATTTTGTGCCTATGTGTGCAAAAAAGCAGCCTATGTTAATCTGTGAAGTTGCAAAGAGTAAAAGGAAGATTTTTGTCTTACCAGAAGTAACGGTGACTGCGGTCCCTTGTCCCCAGTAATCAAAAGCATCATAGTAGCACAGTTGTATCACTCCTAACAGGATGTCTGCAAATACTGTTTTCTTAGTTTGAATTCGTGGGTGAAGCTCTCCATGAAGGCAGCGTTATTTTGAGTAGATAATGTGCATTATCTTGATGGACCTTTAAAGCTCCAAATCAAGGCTGCAATCCTATATACACCATGCCAAGAATAAGCCTTGCTGACTTTCTTCTGAGTAGAAGTGCACAGGATTGCATTCTAGTGTACATAGGGCATCTTGGCAAACCAATGTCTGTTGTAAGGATGCCCAGCCTCTCAGATTGCTGACCAGAGTACTTTGGAACTCTTAAAATACTTTTTTAGAGCAACCTTCATGAAGCTGAGGAAAAGCTGTGGGTGGGTGCTCAAGAGGCTGGAGAGTGATGATCAACCAGCTACTACAATTTTCTGTAGGTTGCACATCAGCTAAATCTAACAGGAGATCCATGATCGGATCTTCCCATGGTTTTTCCACCTCTCTCTGGTGGCCCTTCTCTTTTTCTGAGGAAAATACCCTCTCCCCCAAGCTGCCATTTGCTCTGAAAATGAAAACTTTGGCCACCTGTTTCAGAAAACATTTGGACACCAAAAATTCCAAATCTCTTGAAAAACACAGATTGACTCCCTTCATGCCTCCAGTTCCCCAGCCCTCCAATCCCAGTTAGCTGACTTCCTTGGCTAGTCAAAATATCTTGGCAGTCTTTATCATGATAGTCTGGTTTGAGTCAATAAAATATAATTAACAATGTACTTGGCAGCAGTGGTTAGAGAATTATATGTACATTGATTTACATGTAGCTGATGTAACAAACGGCATTTCTTAATACAGCAGTTTGTCAAAAACACGGTTTTGTTTGCATTGAAATGGCAATTTCACAAAGATTCTAGGTAATAATCTCTAAGAAATCTTGGAAAGTGTGCAGAGAGAAAGGGGAAATGATTGTGTGTGTGATTTATAAACACAAATTGACTCCCTTCATGCCTCCAGTTCTCACTGAGCCAATAACTGTGGTAGCACAGGTCATAACTCTGTAAAGGAGAGGCTCAATGAGACCCCCTTTGATCGATCAATAAATGATCATTGTGGAGTTACTTTAGAAAGCAGAAGAGAACACCATTGCATGGTACAGCAAAAGGTTTCCTGCCATCAACCACAAACATTTTTTTAAAAAACCAACATCTCTAAGAAATATCTGGGCATAGTTTGATATAGATATGGCTCAAAAGAGCCAGACCACAGACTTTATCTAGAATCTATCATGCTTCCTTTGTATTTATTTTATTTATTTTTTAAAAAAGAAGACTCCGATATGCCCTCTCCTCACCACAGATAATTTGTTCTGTTCCTTTCCGATAGGAGGGAAAAGATTTCTCCTTTTTGTTAGATAATGGCCCAGTTTTGATAGTTTTGTATTGACTTGGGAGATTCATATTTGCACCTGAATCCCAATATATGCATTATTCTGAGAGGTGGTTCAAAAGTACAATTACATTGATAATTGGCTTATTGCATCACATATAAATTGCGCTAGTGAAAGTGTTACTACAGCTTTTGGAATTATCTTTAGTTCCTTCAAACAATATGGGGGGAAAGTGCTTTTGTGTTGCTATAATAATACCCCCCTTTACATTTTTTTTAAAATATTTTTCATGTTTTAGATTTCTGACCCCAATGTTTGAGAAATCTGAGATTCCTCAGACACCACCCAGTTGAGGAAAGGCATTGGACCAGAGGTCTTTGGTAAGTTGGCTCTTTGCCGTGCCACGTAACATATGGTGACTGGCAATAGTTTAATTGATTAGACAAATTCTTGAAGGAAAAAGCCTAAACAGAATCTCCATGTTTGACGGCAGTATACTCTGACAAGCGAATAGTAAGCTGAATGCACCCTGCTTTTATGGGCTGCTTGTGAAATCCCAAAGGCATCTGGTTTGCCACTACTCAAAGCAAAATGCGAGACTACTGTCACAATCACAACATACCTTTAAAACAATATAAAACTACTTTAAATAGTCATATTCTTTTAGAAAAAGAGGTGCCGGAACTCACCATGAATGTCTCCTTTGTTCTTTTATAATGGCAATGGCACCCACCTGAGAGGTGCTGGAACTGGGTTCTGGAGAGTTCCGGTAAGTTCCGGCTGAAAAAAAAAGGCCTGACTTCCCCCAAGGAATTCTGGGAGCTGACGTTTGTTAAGGATGCTGATAATTGTTCGAAGACCCCTATTTCCATGTGAAGAGGGATTGGTTGTTAAATCACTCTGGGAACTATAATTCTGGGAGGGGAATAGGGAACTCCTATTCTTTGGGAGAAGACATGACACTTTAAAGTGGTATCATAGTACTTGAAATGTATGGTGTGAATGTGGCCTTAGGTAGACAAGGTAGCTGAGTGCCCTGATTTGTTGAGGCATTTCCTATGCTCATCGGCATTTTAATTGAATTATTTATTAGAAAAAGCCACTATTCATCCAGAGAGGCCCAATGTTAAAGGTAGCTAAATGGAACTTGTTCACAGGCAGCACTCATTGGAGTCCCAGATCCAAGGTAAAGGCTCTCTGATGGTGTTTCCTGCTTGGCAGGGGGTTGGACTCGATGGCCTTTGTGGTCTATTCCAACTCTATGATTCTATGATTCACCAAACTGGGAGGGGTGGCTAACACCCCAGAGGACAGGATCACACTTCAAAACGACCTTGACAGATTAGAGAACTGGGCCAAAACAAACAAGATGAACTTTAACAGGGAGAAATGTAAAGTATTGCACTTGGGCAAAAAAAAAATGAGAGGCACAAATACAAGATGGGTGACACCTGGCTTGAGAGCAGTACATTTGAAAAGGATCTAGGAGTCTTGGTTGACCACAAACTTGACATGAGCCAACAGTGTGACGCGGCAGCTAAAAAAGCCAATGCAATTCTGGGCTGCATCAATAGGAGTATAGCATCTAGATCAAGGGAAGTAATAGTGCCACTGTATTCTGCTCTGGTCAGACCTCACCTGGAGTACTATGTCCAGTTCTGGGCACCACAGTTCAAGAGGGACACTGACAAACTGGAACGTGTCCAGAGGAGGGCAACCAAAATGGTCAAAGGCCTGGAAACGATGCCTTATGAGGAACGGCTAAGGGAGCTGGGCATGTTTAGCCTGGAGAAGAGGAGGTTAAGGGGTGATATGATAGCCATGTTCAAATATATAAAAGGATGTCATATAGAGGAGGGAGAAAGGTTGTTTTCTGCTGCTCCAGAGAAGTGGACACGGAGCAATGGATCCAAACTACAAGAAAGAAGATTCCACCTAAACATTAGGAAGAACTTCCTGACAGTAAGAGCTGTTCGACAGTGGAATTTGCTGCCAAGGAGTGTGGTGGAGTCTCCTTCTTTGGAGGTCTTTAAGCAGAGGCTTGACAACCATATGTCAGGAGTGCTCTGATGGTGTTTCCTGCTTGGCAGGGGGTTGGACTCGATGGCCCTTGTGGTCTATTCCAACTCTATGATTCTATGATTCTAAAGGTAAAGGACCCCATGGCGGTTAAGTCCAGTCAAAGGCGACTATGCGGCTGTGGCGCTCATCTTGCTTTCAGGCTGAGGGAGCTGGCGCTTGTCCACAAACAGCTTTCCGGGTCACGTGGCCAGCATGACTAAACTGCTTCTGGCACAATGGAAAACCGTGATGGAAGCCAGAGTGCACGGAAAGGCCTTTTGCCTTCCCACTGCAGCGGTACCTATTTATCTACTTGCACTGGCATGCTTTC